CCCATTTTATGTTTTAGTGTTTTCTTAAAACATAAATTTCAACGAATGTTGATGCTAAGTTGTCTTATCAGTTTTAAACGGAAAATCAATAAAATTTGGTGTGCTGCCTGCCCAGGCTCGCCTGTTTTTAATAAAAATTCATTCATAATTAAAGATAGGCTACCGATATTAGGTTTTACCATCGCCTTGGAGCCTGTTAAGTAGAGGGTGGAGGACATTTTCAACATTTCTACATCGATAGCACTAAAAAGATAATAGTAACTTTTTTGTTTTTAAAAGAAATTTTTGCTCATTCCTCAATAACCACATGAGAAAAATAAAAAAAGGTATGTTTTAGATTCCATTTTTCACGGGCTTTTCAATGACCCTACACACGACATACCTTTGCATTTGAAAAAATAAAGTTAGGTAGGGTTGCAACTAAGGGGTTGAAGAAACAAAAATCATTTTATTGGCAATAAATCCGTCCAATATAAAATCAATTCACGTGTTTCAGCGTTTTTTGTTTAAATTACTGGTTCAACAGATAATAATTTTATTCCGGACTTTTGCCCAACCCTGTATTATACCTTTAGAATGTTTTTCTCTTTGGTATCAAGTATCAATGCTTGGTAGAGGTGTAATAAAAATAAAAAAAAAAAAACAATTAGTTGCTTAGATGACATGTTGCCACTTAACTTAAAACTCGAAATGTAAGAAAAAAAACCAAATAAAAATGTAGCTCTATAATGATTCATAATAGAACCAGAAGTAGGTATTAAAAAGTGCTTATTCGACGGACGGCACTGCCGGTAATAGGATGGTAGCGGCGGTAATGGTGCCACGGTAGCGTGCAACCGCACGTAACCCTCAATCACTGCACTTGTTACCAGACAAATGGAACTTTAGAAATTATTGCTTGATGATACGCGGATATGCGTGTGTTCGGAGGCAAATGAGAAAAAATCGGATGCTGTACGGTGATGGTAATGCTTGAAAATGAGCTTGGTTTCTACCAAGGTCGGTATTTGAGAAAATTTTATCTATTTTCGAAGGGTGCGTAATGGTGCAGACAATGCATTGGAAGATTGTTAGACGTAGGAAATGTTATTTCCATCAATATCTTATTAACCGCTTAATTAAAAAAATTGAAGAAATAAACATAATTGTACATTTGGTACATTTGAAAAGTAATATGTACAGGGTGTTTCACAACTTATCCGACAAATTTTAACCACATATGCACTGTTACGAGAGAAGTTAATTTCCCAAAAAAAATGTAATAAAAGTCTTACAGAAATCGAGATAAAATAATAGTTTAACAGTTCAATTATACTTATACAAGATGTTCAAAATTGCTCCCATTTACTGCAATGCAAGCTTGGGTGCTTGTTTTTTTTGTTTTAACAATTGTTTTGGTGCAACATTTGCTACAGTAAAGTATTAAGGCAAAATTATGAACGCGAAATGCAGTATTTATTTTTCAATTTTTTATTGAAACTCGGGTTTATAATTTTATTTATGTAGGACTTTTATTACATTTTTTTTGAGAAATCAACTTCTCTCTCTTTGAGAAATCTCCTTCGGCCTTAATCCCCAAACTATTACTTTTCTTAATAATTCTTTATTGAAATGTATGAAGCCTTTTACTTAAAATCATCATGTCTATATAATTCGGATAATTTTTATACGGATTTAACAGTAGTTTGTTCGATAGAAACTCGTAATGTCGCATTTTTTTATAATGTACCTACATCGCGTGAACATTTCAATTCTTGCTCTGTTATATTTTTTTAATAAGACCTCATTTGTGCTTTGTATTTTTTTATATAATGAAACATGTCGCCATGTGAAGCGTTTCCAAAAATACCCCGTCGCATATATGCGAGTGTATGCAATAGGTATTATTGTGATGTGGATAAAACGCCTGCACTTTTGCTAAATACACCGACATGTGTACCTAAATGTATATAGCGGTAATTTTCACTGTAATTTATTGGAAACAAAAAGGGGCATGTGTAATTTCTAATAATTGAACGGTTTAATTGCATGGTTTAATTAAACGTTGCGTGTGAGGAATGGAACGAAAAGGAAAATATCCAGGTAGGAAATAGAAGCAGTATTCGAATTGAAATGAACGAATAGGTTATGTTATACAACACATAATCATAGGTATAGGATGATAGTTTAAAGAGCAGGTAAAAGAGGTGTTAGATATAATTAGTTTTATATGATGATAGGAATTTTTACAGGGTGTTTTTTAATAAAATGCTAATACTGAGGGGGGTGTTTCTTGTACTCACTTTTATGAAAAAACTTCATATGAGCATGTACAAATGAATGCATTTAATTTTTTTTGCGAAACGGTGAATCGTACGAAAAAAAGTCAAGAAATCGAATTTGTTCTAAATTGAACGAGACCTCCAAAAATATTTTTATTTCAAGAGAAAGCAGTGGCGTACCACTTTTACCCTCAAAAATGTTTGACCTGAGTCCAGTACCGACGCCACTGTTGGGAAATAAAAATATGTTTTTTTGGTCAAAAAATGCTCTTTAATACATAAACGCTGTAACACCAAATTTCATAAAAATATTTAAAGTGGTACGGTAATGACTGTAAAAAATTGATTTTTTCTACAAACTTTAACACCCTCTATCTCAAAAGTTAAGACGTTTAGGACATAAGTTCATTTGAAGTTTTTTTTCTTAAAATGGGCACAAGAATCACCCCCTTCAGTATTAAAAGTATGTTATTAAAAAACACCATGCATAATGAATTAAATTTAATACATTAAATTTCCCACTCTAATTTTTCATTATGAACTAGCCCATAATTTTTCACTTATTTCAATTAATTATAATTTATTATACATACCTAATCTCAAAGGTAACTATAATAAAACAATTTTCAACAAAGAGACTAAAAATTTTTACCATTAAATGACAAAATTCCCAAAATTTTACCAGGACACATTTAATCAATCAGCACCTTCAACACACATTTCCTGAACACTTCTAAATTTCCTGCGACATATTATACCTATTGCCATACAATTTTAAATTCTCATACACCCTACAAACCGCACCCTCTCAATTTTCACGATTTACTGGCTGGCACCTATCCCTAAAATTCCTGCTACCAGTTCCCACATGCAGCATGATGGATACGCGTTTTATTCGTGCGAAATGCACGCCGCTGCCCGTCGTTGTGTAAGGTAGCGAGCGGATTTTTTTCGACTTTTTGCGGTCAGTCCGTGTAATAACCATTCATTTTGGAGCAGGTAAAACGGGGAGCGCGGTCGGTGCCGTACGGGCGTTTAACCCGGTTGTAAAAATCGCTGCGAGTCGTAGACCCCTTCACGATATTCTCATTCATTATTAGCTCAATTTTATTCATTCAATTCTTCAGGTGTGTGAAGTTGGCACCGCAACTGTAGTTCTCAGTAGTTCTGATTAGAGTTCTGGATTCCTTTTGGATAGTTTAGGAGTTCTTTTGTACAAAAAATAATAGTTCTGGTGTTTTAACACATTATTTTTTTTAAATAAAACATACGGTGCTAACTTCAAACCTAAATTTACATTGGAATAGTTCTGATTAGTTTATTTGATGTATTTTGATGAGTTCTAGAGTTCCTGAATATTAAAAAAAATAATAATAATAATAAATTTCATCAATAAACAAGTATAAACAGTTAATCAATTAGATATATTATTAGACAACCCATAACTTTTTAATTGTTGAAAAATTCGCAAAATACCATTAAAGTTTCTTGATGTAGAACTCGTCGAATACTCTTCAGAACTGTTATCAGAACTCCTGAGAACTCTCAAAAAATTTTCAAACTCGGACTTGTATTTTTTTTTGTATCGAAGTGATTTTTGAGAATATCTCAAAAACTATTGTTTTAATCAAAATTTCTCAGGAGTTCTGATAACAGTTCTGAATAGTATTCGACAAGTTCTACAAGAAACTTTAATGGTATTTTGCGATTAAAACAATAGTTTTTGAGATATTCTCAAAAATCACTTCGATACAAAAAAAATACAAGTCCGAGTTTGAAAATTTTTTGAGCGTTCTGAGGAGTTCTGATAACAGTTCTGAATAGTATTCGACGAGTTCTACAAGAAACTTTAATGGTATTTTGCGAATTTTTCAACAATTAAAAAGTTATGGGTTGTCTGATATTATATCTAATTGATTAACTGTTTATACTTGTTTATTGATGAAATTTATTATTATTTATATTATTATTTAATATTCAGGAACTCTAGAACTCATCAAAATACATCAAATAAACTAATCAGAACTATTCCATTGTAAATTTAGGTTTGAAGTTAGCACCGCATGTTTTATTTAAAAAAATAATGTGTTAAAACACCAGAACTATTGTTTTTTGTACAAAAGAACACCTAAACTATCCAAAAGGAATCCAGAACTCTAATCAGAACTATTGAGAACTAAAGTTGCGGTGCCAACTTTACACACCTCAATTCTTCACCGATCCTTTCTATATCGATATTGAATACCGCGCAAAATAATTCTACTACCGTCAAATAACGCCACAAAAATTAACAGTGCTCACAAATGAATTAATAGATTAATCATTTAATACCAGAGGCGTAAAATTAGTATAGGTAACATGTGGAATCGTACAAGTTTTTTTGAGTATAGTATACAGGGTGCTCCAAATTGACATGATAATATTTAAGGGGGTGATTCTTGGGCGCATTTTAATAAAAAAACTTCATATGATCCTATAATGTCCTAAACGTCTTAACTTGTGAGATACAGGGTGTTAAAGTTTTAAGAAAAAAAAATCATTTTTTTGTAATAACTGTGATACTATTGTAGATATCTTTATGAAATTTTTAATAACATGCTAATACTGAAGGGGGTGATTCTTGGGCTCATTTTAAGAAAAAAACTGTACATGAACACCCTGTATGTCAATAAATTTAATTGCATGCAGTTCCATCGCACAGTTCGCTCATTATGTTTTTAATTACTCTCCATTTTTCAGAATGAATATGTATCCGTGGTATCGGGACTCCGTCGGGGGTCAATTAGGACAATTATGCGGGCCAATGGCTACTACAATTAAGACTGAGAACGGCTACAATGACTGCATGCTAGCTTTAGACTACGCCACACAGAGCAAGGTAAGTGCTTGGTTAATCTATCAATTGCTATAAAATTGTTATACATATTCTCAATTTCAATCAATTTGTCTTTGAAAATTTAAAGTCATCATATTATTTATGGATGTAACGAACGCCCATAATTTTGTTTAGGTACGTAATTTTTTATTTTATGCGAAAGCAAATGCGTGTCGTTAAGAATTTATTCGATGATTATAATTATAATTAATCAATTAAATATTAATGCGTTTTGATGCATGCCAGCCAGTATTTATATTCCATTTTTCACGTGTGTGCAGTGTGTGTGTGTGCACCTAACAGAAACGGATAAACGATTCATTCGTATTATGCGAGATTGTATCGGCATTTCTGCTTCCATTCTAGTGAAATGTTATTCTATCATTCCGTTTTATTGGAATAAATTTAATAAACTCCGTGCCGATTGCAACGATTTTCTTCGTATTAAAGTCCACATCGACAAATTTTCTCTATTTGCGAATTTATCGATTTATTATAGATAATTTGAAAATAATCTGAAAAAATATACAGCGTTAAATTCGTCAAATTTTATGAATAATTGATGAATAAATATGATTAATTGATGATGGCGTATGAAATAGAAGAAAATTAATTTACCTACTTACGTGTATAAACTGTGCGGAAAATTTTAATATAACATACTCGATGATTTAGTGAAGATTAGGCAGGTTTTTTTTGGTGTAGCTATAAAAATGTGTTGAGTGAAACTGAATTAATATGTGTAAAATTTTATCTAGATTTTGCCGCGATTATAGTTTTACGTGATGATTTATTTTTACAAATATAATTTGAATAATATATTTTTATATACATATATTACGTCTCTCTAGCATGTACTTATCTAATGTTTATAATAAATACTTTTTAAGGTGTAAGATAGATAAAGATCTACATTTTACTTTTGAATACAGATTGGTATCAACTATGAAATATCTATAGTAAATAAGTAGATAATAGTGGGAAAATAAGGCATATAATTAGTTTTTTCATGCAAACAATGAAGCTATATCTATTCATATTACTGAACTTGTTAAGAATTTTGCTAGAAAAACGTAGGTACAATTATATTTAATTCAATTATGAGGTGTTAAATAGTTGAAATACCTCCCGTTATGCGGTTATAAACGCAGTATAAATAAAAGATGTAATTTCAAATGAAAATGCAACTTTCTGAATCGCAAATCACATGAATATTTATGATATCGTCCGAGTTCGCATTGATGGCTATCATTACCCAACTGATGGGTATGTATTGAGTAATGCAATGCTGGCCTAACAATTCCACCAAAACTTATTCCTTTTTAACTTATGTTTTTTATTGTCGCTCGAATTTTATTATTTTTCCTTAATTATGCTTTTCTATTAACAAACTTAAAATTGCAACTAACCGTATTTCAAACGCATCGTTTTATACATTCAACTTTCGTTTCCCCAATTCCTAATGTGAACAAACCTTTCGAAATCCCTAATTCAATCCATTAAAGGTCTTCATCAACAATTCTACAGATTCATTAATTCCTCTCGGGGATTTTATTTTAGTTTATACTTGACGCGTTTGGAAGACGGAGTAATAAACACATTAATCAGCCGAAGTCCACCCGGGGTGTAAACGAGTCGCCGATATCACTCACTCCCCATTGGCCGGCCTAAAAGTTGATACTCTGTGAATGGTTTTGAGTAATTGTAGGCGATGTGCGAAATTTCTATCGATCGAATCGATCATTGTACAGGGTTATACCGTACAGGGGTAGGGATATTTTGGAACCGCCTGACATTTTTATTACTCCGTCTTCCAAACGCGCCAAGTATAGTTGTCTATCGCTTACCAACAGCATGCATTTGTCTCGTGCTATCAAACTATTTACGGGTTCAAATGTCACTTTGACTTGTCACCATTAATTCGAAATTCCTTTCGCCGTTCACCCCATCAAAAATTCAAAAAAATGGCCTGATCGTAAATCCCCAATTTCCTTAAGCATGTCGTTAAACAAAGTGTACCTATCCAACCGCAAGATACTCCTGCAGGACAATGAAGATATCCTCCTGTTCGCCTCCGACGTATCCCTGCAGTGGTCGGGCCAGTTCCACGGTCCCTTCCACGGCACCAAAAACGGCTTCCTCTACTTGACCAACGAGCGCCTGATCTTCATCAACAAGGCCCAGAAGGACCTGATGCTGACGTTCAGCTTTCCCTACGAGTCGCTGGAGGAGGTGGAGCTGTCGCAGCCCGGCCTCGGGCCCAACTACCTCAAAGGGCGAGTGGTCGCCGAGCCGGAGGGCAATTGGACGGGAGCCGCCAATTTCAAGTTGATCTTCAAGAACGGCGGCGCCTTGGAGTTCGCCAAGTGCATGTTGCAGTGCAGCAAGACGCCCGTCAGCGCATCAGCCGCCAGCAATGAAGATCTCTACGAAGCGCCGAGCTTCTCTCTTCCGCTGGAGGTGCCGTTGGATTACAATTTGAACGACATTCAGAGCAGCTTGAGTTTATAAATTGCATCATAAGGTTAAAAGTTTCTTATGTCCTGTATAGACCACCACCACAGCATTAATATACATTATACATATATGCATAGAAATAAATACGATTTGTGGAGTATCTGATACTAGTATATTATTTGCAATGCAATTTGCAAATACACGTTTTCATTTAACTAATTGGGGATGTTTTTGAGGATATTTTTATTCAGTTTTCATGTTTAGTTTTCTTGATAAATTATTTTTTAATTATCTATAATGAGTTTTAGCATATTCAACTCGACATTGAATAATTAACAAAGATAAAAGAACAGGAATTGGGGTAGATTATGCGAAGTTAGCCTATCATGATACATAAGGAAATGTGTTGATACTAGAAAAATACACCGAGTATTTTATTGTAGATTAAAGGACAAAAATGGAAACGTAAATATGCGGTATATGCAAATAAACATGCAAAGTTATTAAAGGTCTGTCTAGAAATGCATACCAAATTGAAAAAGTATTGAAAACCGATTTTTACGGCCGATTTATCATTTAATTAAAGTCTGTACCGCCAAGTATACCGCTTTCTCCAGTTTTGTGAGCTGATTAATTTAGAAATGATCCAGAAATTGTCCACGATAACCTACGGAAGTTTAGAACTCATTGGAACAGTCTAGGATCATTTAGAACAGTCTAGAAACATTCAGAACTGCATGTACATGATTTAGAACTGTCCGGAACCATTTAGAACGATCCAAACTAATTTAGAATGCATTAGGACGATTTAAAACAGTTCACGATTTAGAACTAAAATTATGTAGAAACGATCCAATTATGTAGAAACTTTCATCCGATAAAGAATAATTTATTTATCTTAGAATATCAAAAGTCTAGGAAAAGAAAAAAATGTTTTAAAGAACAAGCTACACTCTTACAAGCTACACTTTTACAAGCTAGAATTTTACCAGCTAGAATTTTACCAACGTTTTCGTCTGAAAAAAGAAACAGTTTTTCATCTCTTGCATGAAATAGAAGAGCAAATATTTTCTAATTTACCTCTATTATTACTACTACTTTACCTAATATTTTAGTTAATTAAAAAAAAAAGTTTCTTCTTTACTAAGAATTGAAGAGCGAACCTTTTTTAATCTTAGAACTTCCATCTTATTTCTCCAACAAACTTAGTTTAAGAGCATACCTACAAAATTTTTGCTATCGACTTCCAAATTTGCCACTCTAGTCCGAATATTTTTTCCAACGCGTCCGCGATACACGTATTCCGCAATCGAGTCGGCGAAATAGATTTCGACAAACAGACGCAGGGTCGCATTCTTAATTTCTAAACAGCGATTTTAATTTGTGCTAACGCATTAATATGTGCGAAATTTATTGGATTTTTTCAATATATTTGTTTACATTGTTTATTTTTTCAAATTTCATTTAATCGTATACTATGTATTCTTAGATTTTATAAACTTCAAATTATACCTACAAGATATAAAAATATATGATTGTCGTTGAAAAAATAGTTAAATTTCTTATATTTTTAAAACGGAGACTAACTTATATATAACCCTATATTTAACGTTTAAAGTACCCAAAATATAAAAGCAAAATATAGCTAATTTTATGGTGTTGCAGTGTTAACCGCCGCATTCGGCATCCCTTATATGTCAACACTTGCAATCTGGCGATTTTTTTCTAATCTCGGCGTAGCCGTTCTATTGGAACAAATGTATTGGAATTTGGATACATATTGGAAAATATGTATTAGAGTGCGTTAATTATCTCATAAACAGTCAATAGGGCGACTATGAAGTGGCAAGGTCAAAATTTCGCAAAAGTGTGTTACAAAAACCCCTGTAGCACCCTCTCACATTTATTTCGTAGCTTTCCTGTGACTAAGCCGGTGTTTCTATTGTTTAATCGCATTGTGTTTTTATGTGTATTGCTAAATAAACTTTATAGTTTAAAAATGGGAAGATCGAAGTCGTCGTACAAAAAGAAAAATAGGCTATTGGCTCAGCAAAAGTAAGTACAAATTTAATTTGAAATTTTTTTGAAACTATATAAGTATTTTAAAATATTTTTGAGAAATATTATCTGGGATTGGGATACTTACATAAATATTCAACAGACAATCTAATTATTTTATTTATTATGTAGGGTCGTAAGAAAGCGCTTTACTAAAAATAATCCACTGGATGATACTCACACTGAGATTTTGGATGATAATAATGCAAGATTTTGTAAGTATTTTTAAATAAATTAAATCAATATGATTCTGTTTCCATAATACGTAAATAGTTCATATTTTTAAAAAACAAACGTTTTTAGAAGTCCTAAAAGTCCAGTAGCCAGTACAAGTACTCTTCAAATTAATAAAAAAACTTCAGACGTTGGAAACAGCATTAATTTACCCACAGAATTAACTTTAAATGAAGATGATATTGACCAAAGAGAAAAAGTTAGTACCTATTTATTTTTGTATACCAGTAATATGTTATGTAATATTATTAAAATAACTACAAATCTATAGGTAGATATTACAATTTGTTATGTTCTTTATTTTAGATTTGAAACAACAAAATTTACTCTGGAAGGTCGAAGAATTGTAGATGCTCAATATTTTATTCAACAAGTGTTAAACTTTCCTCATCACGGATTATTTAATTGCAGCGGTGCCAATGTAGATATAACGAAAGAAGTTAAAAAAGGTCTTCAATCCAAATTCTTCCTACATTGTAACATGTGTAAGGTAACATCGTGTATTAATAGTGAAAATCCTCAGAAAAAAACATTTCGTATCAATACATCAAGTGTTAATGGAGCCATTGGTATAGGAATTGGGTCGAGCCAATTAGCGGAATTATTAAGTAGTATGGATATACCTCCAATATCTGATCGGATGTACCGTGAGCTTCAAAATGATCTTTTTGATTTTTATAATGAAGCTGCTTGGACCGCGATGTTAGAAGCTGGACAAGAGGAAGCTACATTAGCGAGAGAGAATGGAGAGGTTGATAAAAGTGGTTATCCATTAATTGTTGTAGTTGCCGATGGTTCTTGGGCGAAACGATCCTACAAGACAAATTATAATTCTAACTCAGGAGTTGCAGCAATTATTGGATATCGCACCAAAAAAATTTTATATCTTGGAGTTAAAAACAAATATTGTTCATACTGCAAATTATTCGGCCCAGAAAAAGAGCATGTGTGCTATAAAAATTGGAACGGATCTTCAACTGAAATGGAAAGTAGAACAATTTTGGATGGCTTTCAGTGTAGTGTCCAAATGCATGGACTAAAATATAAATATATTATTGCTGATGGTGATAGCAGTGTTTATAAAAAAATTTTAGAAAAAAGGCCTTACGGTAGCATAAATGTTGTAAAAGTGGAATGTCGCAATCATTTGATGAGAAATTATTGTACACGCTTGCGAGATGTTGCAGCAAGAAGATTTAGTACATCAGGAAAATTGGTACCTCTAAAGTTACGAAGTTTGTTAAAAAGTAATATATTAACTTTACGAATTGCTATCGATAAAGCTGCGAAACATCACCGAGAATCTTCAGTTGCAATGACATTTAAAATAGAAAATTTGAAAAAAGATATATCTAATAGCCCATATCATATCTTCGGCAATCATGAAAACTGCGCGAATTATTTTTGTCAAAAATTAGGGAAAGAAGAAAATATGGATTTTACACATGAGCTAACAGAGTGTGGAATAATGAAAGATATATTGTCGTGCACCGCAAGATTAAAATTTCATGCAGAAAGTTTGATAAAAAATTTAAATAATAATTATGCAGAGCAATATAACAATGTCGTAGCAAAATTTTTAGGTGGTAAACGGGTTAATTACACCTCTAGAGGCAGTTACGAATTGCGATGTAATGCTGCTGCCTTGTCATATAATTCGAAAGGATCATATTATTCCGTTTTTCATAAACATATTACTGGACGGAGTCCAGGCTATTACACTAAAAAATTCGTTTCAAAAGTTACAAATGTTTCAAAAACAAGGCTATGTAAAGTGAAGAAGAGGATAAAATTTAGACCACAAGAACGGAAGCAATCACACCCCACAGATGAACATTATGGCCCGAGTGCAAATAAAATTTTGGAAGTTGACCCAAATGAATTGAAGGAGATAAAAGAGAAATTCCTTTTAGATCTAAAGAAATCCGAAGAACAAGCGAGCATAATTTTTGAAAAAACTACAAATCAAAGAAATTCGGATATATGGTTTGAAGAAAGAAGAAAAAGACTCACTGCTTCAAATTTTGGGAGAATCTGCAGACTTAGGGAATCGACAAATAAAAATAAAGTTGCAACAGATATTTTAAAAAACACTTTTTTAGGCAACACATGTACCAAATATGGAATAGAAAATGAAGATTTAGCGAAAGAGCAACTAAGTATATCTTTAGAAAGTGAAATTGCTAAGTCAGGAATTTTTATTCATCCAGAAGATTCGTTCCTAGCTGCAACTCCAGACGGGCTAATAGGAGGAAATATTTTAATTGAAATAAAATGTCCTTCTTCTGCGAAAAACTACACACCCGAAGAAGCAATAGATAAGAAGATCTTAAAATATATGGAACAAATTAATGGTAAATATAGATTAAGAAAAACACACCCATACTATTACCAAGTTCAGGGACAATTGTTTGTAAGTGGCAGAAAATTCTGCTATTTTACTATTTGGACACCAAAGGGAATTCTTTACCAAAGAATTGGTAGAGATTGGAACCTTTGGAAAGAAATGTTAGTAAAATTAAGGGAATTTTATTTTGAGCATTACTTGCCAATATTATTAGAAGAAATAGTAACTGATGGGAACGATGTTTAGTTTATGTATATTGTATTGTTGTTTATTTTTTTATTCTTGTTATTTTTGTTTTTTTGTTTTAATTTTATTATGTACCTATCTACTATTTTTTATCAATATTACACTAATACCCTATTCTAAAAGTAGCTTCATTTCTTACAATGAACTTTTTATTATTACCTTTTAATAAACTTTTTAAACCAATATTAAAATAAAAATAGCTGTCTACAATAAGTCTAATAAGTAAATATTTTTAGGAGAGCAAATTTAGAAAAAAATATAAGTATAAATTAATTCCATAGCAACAAAAATATTAAAAACTATTCTAAACCATTAAAATGTTCGCGAGAAAAATAAAACCGAGTCCGTCCACAGTTATCATTTTAGAAGAGTGTAGTATGCAAGAGAGACAACGTAACGTCTGATATTTTTAAACCATATTTAAAAGCGCTTTCGTATTTCCCATTTTCTATCGAAACTAATTGATATTTTTAAAATCGGTTTTTTTCTTTAATTAATTTAATTCATGAACTAGAGAGGAAAGTTATTTAGATCAACGAAAAGAAGCCCTAAATTGCCAATTTTTTTGAATTAAAATATGTCGTCTAATTTACTATTTTCAGTCGCTCCCCAAATTGACTGGGAATTTATTTATTTTTTGACAGATACTTTCCTGCTTAGATTTCGACCTATTCTTTAAGAGGGTTTTTGAATTTTTCAAAAATATTCAGTAGTTTTCCCAGGATTTGGGAAATGCTTTTACATTGAAAGTCCTATACCCAAAAAATTGGAGGTACGCTCTTAATCATAGTCAATCTCAGATAAATTCAAACGTCATATATTTTTTTCGAAATGTACCAAATTGGTTCAATAACGCTTTTAAGGTTAGCCAACGCTTTAAAATATCTTTAAAGCAACATTTTTCTAAAAGAATCTTTTACATGTACCTATTATGAAATCATTTAACATAGGCATAAAGTTAAAGGATCTTATATTAAAGCTTCCTTTTGTTAAAGAATATTTTAAGGTTTAATTATGAAATCGGCCATTACCAGAGCTTCTCCAGTAATCCAAAGATCAAACCTTACAACAAATAAATTATTTCACAATGAAAACAGCACAAATATAAAACATATGTTTAATAGATACTTATAAAAATTTTAAGCGACTGTATACACAAACCGGCACAAACCTTTCCTGCACATACCGACAAGTTTCGTTTCCCCAAACAGCATACAATCCGAAAAACAATTCAACCGTTCGAAATTTACAATTTAATACCGGCTTGAATATCGGCCATCATAGCGGCGGAGAATTTCAAAGCGCACCTTTCGCTGGGCGACAAATGCTGCATCACCACCTTCTCGACCCCGTTGGAACCGATAACGGCCGGCAGCGACAGGAACACCTCGTAATCCAAACCGTGCCGGCCCTTCGTCATAACGGACACGGCATGAACGTTATGCTGGTTGGTCAAAACCGTATTAGCCAGCGAGGCAGCGCTCAGGCCGATCGCCCAATTCGTGAACCCCTTCAACTTGATGATTTGATAGGCGGCTTCGATCACGTCCTTGTGGACTTTCTTCCACAATTCCGGATCGTCGTCTTCGCCCAATTTCGGCGACACTTCCTTCAAACGGACACCGGCTACGTTGACTCCGGACCAGACGGGCACGCTGGAGTCGCCGTGCTCGCCGATTATCCAGCCGTGGACGCTGGACGTGCTGCAGCCGAGTTTTTGCGATATCAAAAATCTGAATCTCGACGAGTCCAAGTTCGTGCCGGAGCCGAACACCCTGTGTATGGGCAATTTGCTCAATTTCCAAGCGACGTAGGTGAGGATGTCGCAGGGGTTGCTGACGACTATCAAGACGGCGTCGGGCGATTGGGCTACTAGGTTGGGTATGGTGGTCTTCATTATGTTGGCGTTCCTCTGGACTAGGTCTAAACGGCTTTCGCCTTCCTGTTGCCTCACGCCTGCCGTTATGATGATCACTTTCGAACCGGCCGATTCGGTGAAGTCTTTGCTGGCCGAGATTTTCGGGTTTTTCAGGAACAAAGAACCGTGCAGGAGGTCCATGGCCTCGCCTCTTAGCCTATCCTCCATCACGTCGATCAGGCATACGTCGTTAGTGATGCCCTGGCAGAGCAAACTGAAGGCTGTGGCCATTCCTACGGCGCCTATTCCGACCACAGTTACCTTCCTTGTAGTTGTTTGCTTCGGATCGGATATGTTGGTGAACAGGTTCTTTATAATGGACATTTTGGACCTAAAATTTAATTTAAAACTGGCACAAATGTGAAATTCTTGCAACAAAAATAATGACCATTTGAAATTTGACGTTGCTTTCAAGAAATTATTCGGTACATTTATATGACGTTTCATTTGAAGCCCAGGAGGCTGTGATTTAGGTTTCTCATGTTGCCTTACCTGAGAGTTAATATAAATGTTGGTACCGAAATGGGTTCGACTGATCGCTTGTATTTTTCAAAATTACATCGAATTAAAAAAATCTTTCTTTTTCTAAAAAAGAAAGGATAAATTTAAAACATTTTTTATTGGTAAAATTAATGTTGACTGATTTTTTTTGAATAAAATAGTAAAGAAACTATAGATCAGATATCTAATAAAATTGTACTAGATTATTTCTTTTAATTGTTTGGTTTATGACGAGGTTCGTGTGATTTCGTGTGTCCAATTTATTTGACCATTTTGCGGCGGGGTTCAGTCGATGCAAAAAATAGGTATAACTACATTATTACCACGGAAAACATTAAAATAAGAAAACAATCCACATCTAATCGCCCGTATGGAAATTGCGAAATTTTAATTTTGTTGCTGACCTTTTGGTATACTACATCCGTAAAAATAATTTATTCCCAGTAATTACTTCTTAATGCGCCATATAATTCTTCCTTGCTGGTGTATAGCCAAACTGTACCCGGTCGTAATGCGTACTTAATATTTGAAAATATTTTAATGTTAACGAGGGAACGCAAAATAATATGTTATACGAACGGAATGGGGTAAGGATATTAAAGAGAAAAAAGAAACAATGTACCTACCTAAGGGCCGGTTTATCAATTGAGGGTTACCCCTCGAGTTAAAGATAACCCTGAGTTAAACTGCCAAAAGTGTTTTTCCATCGCGGGTCAACTGTTAACTCGAGGGATACCACTGGGTTATCTTAACTCGCGCAAATTTGGCAGGTTTGTGGATTTGACTCTGGGTTAACCTAAAATTTGCGTGTTTTTCTGTTGTCAAACGCATTTTTTCATGATTTTTTCGCTCGCTTTCGATTAAAAAAAGAAACCGTTTTGTTTGTGTTAAGCCCATAGAAGACACGGTAAAATTTCCTACAAACAAGTTTTTTTTTTCGAATTCGGAAAAATTCGATTCTCTCCTATCCGCCATATTTATTCTTCTGACTTCTAATTTTCATTTCAAATATTCAAAACCAAAAAAGTTAGGTTATTATAGTCAAGAAATGTCAAAAACGAGCACAAAACAACGTTGCCAAAGTTTCAACGGCTATAATGTATTGCCAACCTTTCAGCATTTCGTGAGTTTGCTAGCCCAGGGTTAAAAAAGCTTGGATAAACACTTTTATTCTTAACTCGCAATTTAGCCCAGAGTTAGACGTAACCCAGGGTTGGCTAACTCGGCGAGTTATCCCTCAATTGATAAACCGGCCCTTAAAGAGGTATTTGTAACCTCTATGAGCGCAGCCTAAATGGTTGGTAATACTGTTATGTAAATAATTGTAATGTTTGCATCAATGCTTGCATATAGAAAGAGACAGCATCATTTCCTTTCAAACTCCAAAACGTTCCTTATTAGTATAGGTAACAAGACAGTTCTTTCGAAATCGAAATCGAAACCCATAAACCCAGTAGGCATGCTGTCAAATTAATTTACACATATAAGTTATACATGTCATAGAAGTGTGATTATCTGCTACCAAAGCTGTATTTCCCCCGCAGCTTGTTCGTTCTTAAGTTACCCCATTTCAAGTATAGTGTACCCATCGTAGTGTCCCAAATGTTATCAGCCGCGGCGAAGATCCCACCGATCACGATGAGCAAACTCTACGTGGGCAATCTGCCCAACGAGACGAACGAGATCAAACTGAGGCAGTTGTTCGTCGAGCAGAACCTCTCCTGCACCAACATCCTGATCAAACGGGGCGGCTACGCCTTCGTCGATTGCCCGGACCAGTCTTCGGCCGACAGGGCCATCGACAAGCTCAACGGTTTCAACTTCAACGGCTCGGCCTTGGTCGTGGAGCCCTCCGTGGCTTCGGTGAAGAAGAAGTCGAACGCCGCCATCCACGAGCCGCCCTCCATCAACGTGAGCAATCACTGGATGAGGACCACGGCGTCGGACCGCTAGCGATCGGATTCGTCGATGATCGATCACTTCGAACGGAAAGCCTATTGTAAACGAAGAGTATATTTATTTGCACGTACATTTTGTAATAAACTAAAGTAATACGCACGGAACTGAATCTTTCGGGTTGTCTTGTTGTATAATGTGAACGCGTAAATAAACGTTTTAAAATTTATATCCCATCTGTTTGTGGGTTGATGGGTTGGTTGGCAAATTTTGGGTCTTCGTATTATCAATGAAAAATCGATAAAATATATAATTTATCTATACAGGGTGTTTTTTAATAAAAAGGGGTGCGGTTTGTAGGGTGCATGAGAATTTAAAATTGTATGGCAATAGGTATAATATGTCGCAGGAAATTTAGAAGTGTTCAGGAAATGTGTGTTGAAGGTGCTGATTGATTAAATGTGTCCTGGTAAAATTTAAGGGAATTTTGTCATTTAATGGTAAAAATTTTTAGTCTCTTTGTTGAAAATTGTTTTATTATAGTTACCTTTGAGATTAGGTAGGTATAATACATTATAATTAATTGAAATAAGTGAAAAACTATGGGCTAGTTCATAATGAAAAATTAGAGTGGGAAATTTAATGTATTTAATTTATTATACATGGTGTTTTTTAATAACATGCTTTTAATACTGAAGGAGGTGATTCTTGGGCTCATTTTTAAAGAAAAACTTCTTATGAACATATTATGTTCTAAATCTAAGTTTTATAATTTTTAAATTTTTATTTTTTAATGCCAAACGGTGAGTCGCATGGAAAAAAGTCAAGAAATCAAATTTGTTCTAAATTGAACGGGGCCACCAAAAATATTTTTTATTTCAATATTAGACAGTGGCGTACAATTTTTTTCTACAAAAATATTCAATGCAAAACCCGTACGGACGCCACTGCTGAAAATAATAAAATTATTTGTACATCAGAAAAATGCATCTTGATTCATAGAAGACGTGTTTCAAATTTCATAAAGATATCTACAATAGTATCAACAATTATTACAAAAAATTGATTTTTTTCTTAAAACTTTAGCACCCTATATCTCAAAAGTTAAGACGTTTAGGACATAAGTTCATATGAAGTTTTTTTCTTAAAATAGACCCAAGAATTACCCCATTCAGTATTAGCGCATGTTATTAAAAATACCTTGTATACTTTCTTACACAAAGATATATAAAATATGCAGGGTGTCGCAAAAAGGTTGGGATATGGCTTAATATAAGGCTTCTGAGAGAAAAATAAGGTATTTTACCTTTTTTGTGACATCTTTTGTAAAATGCTATAAGAAGTATAGGAAGTTTGTGCTGGTATAAGCAATTAATTGCACTATATTATCATCTAGGTACACCTACAAACATGAAACATCTAAAATGAGTACATAAAAGTATAAACTTATACCTAATAGATAACCAATATACAGGGTGTCCGAGAAGGGTTAACCGGTTATTCGGTACACCCTGTAGAATCAATTACAGCGTAAAATGTTTTTTATCAGTTTTCAGGACTACAATCCCCTCTGGAATTTTATATCACCATTTAAAGTAAACATATCCCGCATTTAATGCGGCTCAAAAAGTCAGTTTGTTTTTACGCATAAATTACGCTTCCCGCTTAAAGTTAATACGCAAATGTCCTCACGTATTGTCGAATAGGACGATAAAAATACCCGTGCGCATGTTGCATCAGTCCGTTCCAAATAAAATTTATCGTTCGAAACGATCGAATTTGAACAATTCGCCGGAATATTACGCTCGAGCGTCGTTAAATTATCATTCTCCCCGCCGTTGCTCATAGCTCGCTACATGACGGACATATCTGCCATACTTCGAAGATGGGAAGCCGTGGGGTAGCATTTCTCGAACACCTCGTCCGGTCGGGCTTCCCTTACAAGGGATTCCTACACTCAGATAAATTCTTTCCGTCGATAGTTCGGTGCTAAACGATTAAGAACTCTGGAGAAAGTTCGCAGGATTTGATCAAATTTTGCGTTGGATATACGAGAGGAAAATCGTATAATTCGTGAGTATGTAAAGGTTGAAATAGAAATAGTATATCGTGAATAACAATTCAATTGCAGTAAGATTTTTTTTTTCGGTGTAATCAATCTCGCAATCGTCATGGGAAGCGTCGACATTTTTCAAACACCTCTCGACCGGTAAGAGACTTACTGCTCTTACAAGGAAAAGCTAGATTGCGGCCGTACTTGGCTTTAACTGCCTTTGTGCGCCGACAATTCGAATATAACAAATTTGCCATCTTTCGTGCTGAATACTGAAAATTCCTGCGGAGCATTTCGTCTAATTATTGGAGGAATCGCCTTATTAGTGTAATGAATCGGCGGCCGGTTCGTTGCTGGCTGCCTTTTTTTTATTGTCCCTCCGAGTAAATTCCGGCGTTCCGGCGAATATTATCGTTCCCGGATGGAGCCCGGAGTCTTTGAATTAATCAACTCTATTTACCAGGCGATGAATCTTATACACGCCCTGTGTAGAAGAGAGTTAGAAATTTTGTATCAATTTCGACATTTTGGATGTAATTGTGTCCAATTTAGTCAAAGTATTTGCATGTACTTCAAGTAAATGCTTAATTTCGTTGTTTTTACTTAAAAAATTATAGCATTTACTCCAAATAATTCGTTTAAAGTTAAACTTAAAAGTAAGTACTACGAGCAATTACTTCATACTTTGCTCTATTTACTTCGATACATAGAAGTTAATTCTACAGAAATTGCTAATGTTGTCTGGTATTTCCTCCATTTGGGAGTGTTTGGTGTAGTTTTTAAGAAGCTGATCACAGAGTAGGTAACTTCTTATCAAGTACTTCACCTAAAAAGGTGTTAAAAATTGCATTTTTTTGTGAATTATGGTAGGAAAAGTAGGGAAATATGTGAACGTAGAACGTATGAAGAGGCATAATACATATACAAAATTATTTCGGCAAGTCAATTATTTTAGGCCACTTTCTTCTGTCAAGCACTATGCTTTTAGCTTTAATCCAAATAATGTTAAATGGGTAGCCAATCTAATGAATTTTTTGGAACTCATATTGAGAAATAGTGTATATATCGAATCGGGATACATGAAACATCCGTATCAAAAGTAATTAAAATAATTAGGCACACAAAAAATTATGTCGAAGAAAAATAATTGGATTTCTTTTCCTTAAAATGCACAAGAAATAGAATTAGCTGAATATGTTAGATATAAAGATATTAGAATAGTAAAACCAAAACTTCACCGGGATGAATATTTCAACCTCATCAAAGGACTTTGTAGTATTAAGGTGCAGAAACTACATGCAGTTCTAAAGTTCCTGCAGTTTCATAATACATAAGACACACTCTGCATGTATAGCTTGATTCAATAGCTACGATTTACATCTATTAATATACCTACTAGCATTGTAGTTATATACCTGTAGGTATGAAATACTATAGGTACTATACATAACTATAGGTAGTTAATAAAAAGTTTTATTTTTGAAAAAAATGTTGAAAGTACAGTTGCAATATATCATATTTCCCAAGTAGTATAAAATGATATTTTCGTCTGTAGGACAGACGGTTCGAGAGTTTATCGATAACGCAACGGTTAAACGCAAGTTTTTCGGAATGGCAAACTAAATAAAAAGTCGCGCGACGTAATAGCAGTCGAGTCGTAAGCCGTAAGCCGTAAATCTGCGATGCGACAAGTGGAGTCGTATATTCCAGATTTCGCTCACGAGATAACGCCATCATCCGACAAAGCTCTTTATATTATAATCGCGGAGGCAGAGAGAAAGAGCGGACCGATTCGGAGGATATGTCTTTTAGTGGTGAATTGTGTCGCTCGTTTCGAACTCGATATATGTTATATATACGTTAGGTCTATCCTTGCAGTTGCGACGGGACTTCCTTATACTTCCTGCCTCCCTTTCGATTTCTCCTGATGCGAATTGCGAATATTCTGTTTTTTTTTTGTTATGCGCTCCATTGACTTTGGAACATCCTCTCAATACGTTTATTAATAAAATTATTATTAGCAAAAAATATATGCAAGATTGTTTCATTTGAAAAGGTGTGCGGCACTATTTTGAAACATTCTGTAGGTAAAAATATGAGAATATAAGGGGCATTATCGTATCTTTAAAATAAAAAGTATCACCAACTATGCTAGATCTGATAGAGGTATTTATTAATAACTCATCCACCATTTTTTGAAATATGTACCTAATGATTCTTGAAAAATCTAATATACAGGGTGTTCCTAACAATCGTATACATCCGAAAGGGGGTGATTCCTTGGCTTATTTTATGACTAAAAGTTCATATAAAAGTTCATATAAAGGTTTCATATTAACGCTTCGTTACCGATCTACATTATAGTGTTGAAATATTTCAATTTTTTTTTTTCTTTGTAGCTCCTGGACTTTTTGAGATATTTAGCTCAAATTAGGTATATGATATAGGGTATAGAGTAAAATTTGAGTAGGAGGGGGTCACTTTCAACATTTGTTATAAAGTAGTTTAACAATTTTTATTTAGCGTTTTTGTATTGTAAAATAAATCATTTGTAGAAGAAAATATTTATTAAGTTTTTTCTCGATAACGGTCACAAAAAGGAAAAATGTTTAAAAATAAAAAAAGTTTCTAAAGAAAACAGACAATTTATTTTGTATTTTAAAATCTACCAGCGGCGCCCATCAAAAAAGTTCGGGGGGGAAAAATGGGTAGGTACATGAGCCCTGAAAAAATATCACCCTGTAGAATTCAACAACCATCTGATATACCCAATAATGTGTGCCCATATAAAGCTAAATATCCCAAAAACTGCAGGATCTACAAAGAAAAAACCAAAAAAAAATAGAAATATTTCAACACCCTGTAGATCGGTAACGAAGCGTTTGCGGACCTTTATATGAACTTTTAGTCATAAAATAAGCCAAGGAATCACCCCCTTTCGGATGTACACGATTTTAGGAACACCCTGTACAATAAAATATTAAAATCATTGAATCGTATTTTTGCTATTTTCAAGAACAATTCCTCTTCAAATGATGACTATTTATTAATCCACTTGGAGCAACCTTTACCCACCTGTAGGTAGGTATGTATTATCCAGTCATGATATTAGAAAAAATAATGAATAGAAACCCAGCATTAAGTTAATT